AGGGCCCACATCACCAGAGAAATCACGGCCACGGACGGAGGGAACAGGAGCTCGTCGGTGGAGTTGGCCGTGACCATCACCAACGTAAAGAACCAGCCTCCGCAGTGGGAGCAGGACAGCTACTACGTGACCGTCCCCGAGAACACGGCCCGAGACACCCCCATAGTGGTAAGAATTAAACGGTCCACGCAGCATGGTTTAGTCCTGTTAAATCCTGTTTTAGTCCTGTTTTAGACCTGGTTTATACCTGGTTTAGATCTTGTTTAGATCTAGTTTAGACCTGGTTTTAGTCCTGGTTTAGACCTGGTTTTAGCCCTGGTTTAGATCTAGTTTAGACCTGGTTTTAGTCCTGGTTTAGATCTAGTTTAGACCTGGTTTTAGTCCTGGTTTAGATCTAGTTTAGACCTGGTTTAGATTTTGTTTAGACCTGGTTTTAGTCCTGGTTTAGATCTAGTTTAGACCTGGTTTTAGTCCTGGTTTAGACCTGGTTTTAGCCCTGGTTTAGATGTAGTTTAGACCTGGTTTTAGTCCTGGTTTAGATCTAGTTTAGAACCTGGTTTTTAGTCCTGGTTTAGATCTAGTTTAGACCTGGTTTTAGTCCTGGTTTAGATCTAGTTTAGACCTGGTTTTAGTCCTGGTTTAGATCTAGTTTAGACCTGGTTTTAGTCCTGGTTTAGATCTAGTTTAGACCTGGTTTTAGTCCTGGTTTAGATCTAGTTTAGACCTGGTTTAGATCTTGTTTAGATCTAGTTTAGACCTGGTTTTAGTCCTGGTTTAGATCTAGTTTAGACCTGGTTTTAGTCCTGGTTTAGATCTAGTTTAGACCTGGTTTTAGTCCTGGTTTAGTTTAGATCTAGTTTAGACCTGGTTTTAGTCCTGTTTTAGACCTGGTTTATACCTGGTTTAGATCTTGTTTAGACCTGGTTTTAGTCCTGGTTTAGACCTGGTTTTAGCCCTGGTTTAGATCTAGTTTAGACCTGGTTTTAGTCCTGGTTTAGATCTAGTTTAGACCTGGGTTCAGTCCTGGTTCAGTCCTGAATTAGTCCTGGTTTAGACTTGGTAAAAAAAAAAAAAAAAAAAAAAGAAGGGAATAGCCCAAAATGTGAAAACAGGAAAATACTGCTGTGTAATCCATTTATTTCAACAAAGTAACTGTAATCCAATTCCCACTCACTGAAACAGTAACTGTAATCGAATACAGTTACTCATAATTTGTACTCTGATTACGTAACTAAAAGGGAGAAAAATGCAATGCCAACTGGAATATGTATAACTGCAAATAATAACACTTGAATAAAAAAATAAAAATCACAAAAAAAAAAAGAATTATGCTCCAATTCAACATTAAACTTAAACTTATTATGTGATTAATACTGATGTGGGTGTGACGCTAACCGAAAGCACTGCTCTGTCAGAAGCTCTGTTAAACTTTGAGCTTTATTCTAACACAAACTGAATACAAAAAGCAGAGTTAACTGCAACTACATCAGGTGAAATGATTTGTGCACTTAAAAATGTCATATGTCTGAGTCAGAGGCCCAAGAATGCTCAGAAAAGTGCTGTTTAAATCTATTTTGGTGTTTTTTCTTGAGTTCTTATAACTTTATGACAGTGTTTCAGTGTTTAGTATTGTGTGCATTGTGTCACCATGGTAACTGCTGAACATTCAACCGATAGATATACAGGTAGGAAGACCCCCGGCGGGATGTCACTGCAAAGTATCAATAGCTAAGAGCAAAAAATAAATAAAAAATGTACTAAAATTCGTAAAAGTAAATAAATGTAGAGAAAAGTAGAGGAATGGTGATTTGGTGATGGTGATGTGATTTTCAACAAAAACAGTGAGATGTGTGAAGAATCCCTCAGTCGTCCAGGTAGAATCCACGGCGAGGAGAAAATTCAGTTTGTCGACTGCACAAAAGTTAGTTTGGTTGAAGACGTTTTGCAAGTTGGTTCTTCAGTTCTGGTCAGACGCTGGTGGACACTTCCTTATATCTGCAGGGAGAAGCTAAATGAAACTAAGCCTACGTTCAGACTGCAGGGCTTAACGCTCAATTCCGATTTTTTGTGAAATCCGATGTTTTTGCGAGGTCGTTCACATTTCCAGTTAAATGGTACTTGTAAGCGATCCCCTGTGTGAACGTTAAACGGCCCGAAAGTGTCCCGCATGTGCACTGGAGGACGTGATGACGTCAACCGCAGCGAGCGTCTCTGTGTTTACGGAAGTTGTCCAAACATGAACACGAGCATTGATCACCTGGCAGATTTTAAAGTTTCTCTCGTACCGGAGCCAGAACATGAACAACTTACTTGTTTTAAGGAGGAGATTGAGAAGGAGAAGGACGAGGTTTTTGGCCGTGGTGTTTTGTGGGACTATTCCGCTCTCCTTGCGTGTTTCTAACACAATTTAGCGGTAAGCGTAACTCCTTTTTGGAAACATGCGCAGAGTCACGATGTAGCGTCCATAGCTCCAATTTATTTCTCCACAAAGGTTCCAAAAAACAGAGTAAAACTGCAAAACAGAAAAAGCTGCATTTAGCACAGTGCAAAATATAACAGAGGTTAGCTTAACTACAAGCTACTACACCATATGATACTAAATCTTCAATAAAAATACATTTCTAATAACCATCCATAACAAATAAAGCAAGGATATTATACTTCTTATCTGTATAAAAAAAACAACTTACAGACAGTGAGGTCAAAGGCACGAACAAAAAAGCAGATCTTAAAGGATGAACACATGTGCTGCTCAGGGCAAACAAAAACAACATAAGGCTAACTTCCTGTCATGACTTCCTGTCTGTCAAGAGACCTCCAAAATAAAAGACAGGCAGCAGCAAATACAATCTACTGGTAAAAACAACTGTATAAAACAACATCTCAAAACATTTTTAGGGCAAAACAGGGACAGTCCATTGAAAGGAACGTGTGGATGTGGAGACGTAGCCAAGAGTGGTGAGTGGTGATGTGCTTCGCTTCAGTGACATGGAGTTCATTAACAATTTTCGCCTCCTTCAGCGCAGAATAGTGACGTTTGTGGCTTGTTGATAACGTGTAGGTCGAATGAATGCGCTTTGGCCGTTCAGACTGAAGTCGCATGTCAAAAGATCAGATATGTATCGGTTTCAGGACCACATTTTGAAGTGGCCCGGGTCGCATTTGAAAAAAATCGGATCTGTCATTAAACGATCAGATACAGGTCACATAGGGGTCAAAAAATCGGATTTGGGTCACTTCAGGCTGCAGTCTGAACGCAGCCTGATTGTTCTCTTCAAATCTAAATCAAAACAAACAAGAGAACAACAGGTGTAGCCAGGTCAGGTCCAGAGGTGTGGAAGCTCCTTTATGGCCATGAATTGTTCTGCTAATTAGACCCCACACCCTGTGCAGGTCAATAGGCCGAACTAACCAACAGAAACTGTAAACAAGTTGGTGTGTTAGTTTCAGTGTAGTTTGCTCCTCCCTGCAGATATAAGGAAGTGTCCACCAGCATCTGACCAGAACTGAAAAAGCAGCTTGGATGAGCTGCGAAACGTCTTCAACCAAACTAACTTTTATCCAGTCGACAAACTGAATTTTCTCCTCGCCACAAAAACGATGAGAGTGACTGAAAAACTTGTTCACTGTTGGTTAATGTCAGCAACCTTGTGACTGTAACGTTATTTGAGAGAGACACAAACGATCTCGCCTGTTGTACTTCCAAGTAATTCAGCTCTTTTTGCTCAGACTGAGTTAAAATAAAGCTTAGAGTAAAGTCTAACAAGCCTCAGACCGAGTAGTGCTCACAGTTATCGATGACATCAGCTGCAACAGATCAAGCAAAAGATGTTCATTTTGTCTTCTTATGTACTTTAACTTCTTGGGTTCTTTTTAAAGACAATGCAGTAAAGTGTTTTTACCTTGTTGACATGTTTCGGCTGCTGCTGCGAGTCATCTTCAGAACTGTCACCGGTGTTGGTGGTGACGTGTCGTATATCAGCTGTTGTTACTTCCTGTAGGCGTGGTCAGACCTGATGGACCTGACCTCGCCTCCCGTCGCCCGGTGTCTCTGGAGGAGGGTGTCCCAGGTGTGTGAAAGGAGGAACGCGCCGTCATCACGGTTAATGCTGTCCGTGCCTCGTTTCCTGATTTCAATGGCCTCCTTGATCCACCGTTTGAACTTGTTGTTTTCCGATCCAATGACCCGAGCCCCGTCCCGATCCATAATGTGGTTGTTCCTTTTACATTGGTCTGATATGGCGGATTTTAGGTTTTCCTGTTCTGCTTTGTCTTTTTGTGTTCTGGTGAGTCTCCCTGACGTTTGGAATGCGAGAAGGAGACTCACCAGAACAAAAAAAGACAAAGCAGAACAGGAAAACCTAAAATCCGCCATATCAGACACTGTAAAAGGAACAACCACATTATGGATCGGGACGGGGCTCGGGTCATTGGATCGGAAAACAACAAGTTCAAACACTAGATCAGGGAGGCCATTGAAATCAGGAAACGAGGCACGGACAGCGTTAACCGTGACGACGGCGCGTTCCTCCTTTCACACACCTGGGACACCCTCCTCCAGAGACACCGGGCGACGGGAGGCGTGGTCAGGTCCATCAGGTCTGACCACGCCTACAGGAAGTAACAACAGCTGATATACGACGGTGACGGTTCTGAAGATGACTCGCAGCAGCAGCCGAAACATGTCAACAAGGTAAACACACTTTACTGCATTGTCTTTAAAAAGAACCCAAGAAGTTAATGCAACAGATCAATTCGTTGCTGTATATTTGTGTGGTTTCTATGGTATTATATTTCAGTGTTTTCTATTTTTGCTCTTAATTCTAATCTCTCCCGTTGTGTTTGCTCTCCTCCTCTAAACTAATGAACACTTTCAGCTTTACCGTGACAGGATGTTGTCTTTGTACGCTAAAAAATGCTACACAGCCGCCTTGTCAGAGTGGCCAAAAATCGAGTGCACTGTTAATTTGATGCTCTAGGTAAAATATTTGATTGGTTTGCGCGCGTCAAGGCAACTTTCACAACTTGGGCTAATTAAATCCTTTCAGAGTGTCTCCTTTGATGTGAAAAGTATGTCCGTGTCAATCTGGAGATTACGTTTTTATAAATATGTTTTCAGCCAAGGTCTTTGCAAGGGGAGCCAGACTAGTTATCAGTAGTGAGAAATCAGTCTGTCTGTGGCTTTCAGTATTCTCAGTTATATTCAAAGGATGTTGAAAGACTTTAATACAAATGTCCTGCTTTATTCATTCTATGATATGCTCTTTATCCTGTTAGAAAAGCAGCGGAAATGTTCTATATTACGCCAAACTGACTCTTCTGAGATTTAAGCCGCGATTTAACGTCATTACCTCATCGAAAACAGACCCGGAGTTGTGTTTTGCTTCGTTCACTGTTTGGTCTAAACTTCCAAAAGCTCAAAATGCTCAGTTCCACCTTGTGATGTCATGAAGTTGGTTTTAAGTTAACAGCTACATTTAAAATCCAGGTATCGTTCGTTCGTTTGTTTTTCAAAATAAAACTAAAAATAAGAAAATGAAAACACAATTATTTTCTTCATTATTTGTCTCCAAAACCAAAATGATTAAATGGGTAATGATTTTATTTTATTTTTTTCAGTTTTTGGTTTTGTGTTGAAATGAATAATGGAAAAAAAAAAGAATAACGGCCGTTTCCCGTTTCTGTGGCTCAAACTGCGATGCCGCTCTTTTGTGCCACAACAGAACTAAACCAGGACTAAAACAGGACTAAATCAAGACTAAACCAGGACTAAATCAAGACTAAACCAGGACTAAAACAGGACTAAAACAGGACTAAACCAGGACTAAACCAGGACTAAATCAAGACTAAACCAGGACTAAACCAGGACTAAAACAGGACTAAACCAGGATTAAACCAGGACTAAAACAGGACTAAACCAGGACTAAATCAAGACTAAACCAGGACTAAACCAGGACTAAAACAGGACTAAACCAGGACTAATTCAAGACTAAACCAGGACTAAAACAGGACTGAACCAGGACTAAAACATGACTAAACCAGGACTAAATCAAGACTAAACCAGGACTAAACCAGGACTAAAACAGGACTAAACCAGGACTAAACCAGGACTAAATCAAGACTAAAACAGGACTAAACCAGGACTAATTCAAGACTAAACCAGGACTAAAACAGGACTAAACCAGGACTAATTCAAGACTAAACCAGGACTGAATCAGGACTAAACCAGGACTGAATCAGGACTAAACCAGGACTAAATCAAGACTAAACCAGGACTAAACCAGGACTAAAGAGGACTGATCCCAGGACTGAACCAGGCTAAAACAAGACTAAAACGGTTCTAAACCAGGTCTGAACCAGGACTAAACCAGGACTGACTCCAGGACGGAACCAGGAGGACTAAACCAGAACTGAACCAGGAGTGTGGAGACGGGCCCGGAGGTGCGCCCGTGTAGACTGTCAGATGACTGCAGGTTTTAGTCACGGTTTAGTCCTCATTTAGACCTGGTTCACACCTGGTTTAGTCCTGATTTAGTCTGTATGTGACGCAAAAGTCCGGCATTGCAGTTTAAGTCACGTAAACGGGAAATGGCTGTTATCTGTTTTTTCAATTATTAATTTAAACACAAAATCGAAAAGTGAAAAAAACGAATCATTCTTCTTTTTTTTTTTTTCATTTTGTTTTTGGAGACAAATCATGAAAATATTTTTGTTTTCTTATTTTTGAATTTGCTTTTGAAAAACAAATGAGTGAATGATACACGGATTCTAACTTTAGTTCAGTAGAGATTGAAAACTCCGGTGCTGAAATTTTCCAGATGATTCTAGTGAAGGTGTATGGAGTTTAAAAACACAGTGGAGCTCTTTCTGTATTACCACATGACATTACAAGGTGGAAATGAGTGTTTTCTGTCTGAGAGACGAACTAAATATCCAGTGTTTGTGCGTTAAACATGTGTAAATGAAACAAAATAAAACTCCAGGTGTGTTTGTGATGAGGAAAACAACATTACAACTTTATAACACACAAGTAGATCAAAAAAAATGGCGTAATACAGACACTTTAAACCTTGTGAAAAAGAATACAGCCCTTTTTGATGAATGCATACTCCCTTTACCATGCAAGGGAAGAACCAAATGTCAGTCAAAAGAATAAGTAAAGCTACATGGGCTTAGGCTGGCAAAAAGTAGATCCAGGAGCTTTCGCCTGTGATCCTACATTTGCTCAGTTCAGTTTTCGCTTCATAATATATGCGTTTGTCTCCTCTTCTGTGCCTCGCAATACAAAACCCCATCTGTTGCTTTCCTAGACCATCAAGGCAACGTCTCAGCTCGGCGACCCCAGGGTGACCTACAACTTGGAGGACGGGATGGTACCGGAGACGAACATGCCCGTGCGGTTTTACCTGTCCCCAAACCGTGAAGACGGGTCGGCCTCCATTTTGGTGTCAGAACCTCTGGACTATGAGACGACGCCGTTTTTTTCTTTGAGAGTTCGAGCTCAGAACGTGGCAGCCGTCCCTCTCGCTGCTTTTTCCACCGTTTACGTCAACATCACAGGTATTTTTATTAGTAACAGAGGCGGGTAGTTTCTTTTTATTTAAATTATGCAAGTAACTTTTTAAAGGACTTATATTAAACAAAACTGACTCTTGTGACCTTTAAGTAGAGGTGTAATGGTACAAAAATCACAGTTCAGTACATACTTCAGGTTTGAGGTCACAGTTCGGTTCATTTTCGGTACAGTTTGGGAACAAAATGCAAAACCATTTGCTTGCTGTTTATTTGTGTTTTTATTAAACCAACAATTTGTTTTAACAATACACAAACAGGAAAATAAAATAAATAATAATAATAAAGTGCTGCTTTATACATTTACACTTACATATACACATACATATACATTTTATTTAACTTATAAAATATAAAATATTAATAATATGTGCGGTAATACCGGCTTGTCAAAGCCTGATCCCGTCAGATCTCAGAAGCTCAGCAAGGCCTGGCCTGTTCTAATATTCTGTAAAGCGTCTTTGAGTGTCCAGAAAAGAACTATGTAAAACTGATGCATTCTTCTTCTTCTTCTTCTTCTTCTTCTTCTTCTTCTTCCTTCTTCTTCTTCTTATTATTATTATTATTATCAAACAAACAACAATGTATGAAAAAGATTATAAAAAATAAATTCCTTGTATACAGTAAACAAAACTTTTCAAAAAGTAAAGCGCAGCACTAACGGGGGGCAGGGGCAGAGATTCTGTGCTGGCGAAATTGAGGACTGCGGCGCGACAGTCGTAGTTTTGCAAGGATTCACGTGGTTTGTAGGGACATAGCCAAGGCGAGGGGCAATTGTTGTTAAGGCAGCTGCTCTAACTATAAAGCGCTGCAGGAAACACTGCCACCCCAATCACGGATGAGTTTTCTCATGAATATTAAAGAGCTGATCCTTCCCTGTAGCTGCACATGCAGTGATGGAATGTAAACACACACAATGCACAGCCCTGCACCGAACCGAACATCCAGTACCGAAACTGTTCAGCACAAATATATGAACCGTTACACCCCTATATTTAAGTAATGTTATAATACTGTTACCTCATCAAAAATGTACATGTAGTGTTGTTTTGTTTCATTCAGTGATTTTTGAATAATTCTTTTATTATCAGTCTGTTTACATCTCCAAAGCTCAGAATGCTGTGTTCCACCTTGTGATGTCATGAAGCGCTTTTACCTTTTAGTTCAGAAGAGATGGGAAATTCCAGGGCTGAGATTATCCACATGATTCTAGTCAATCAATCAATCAATCAAACTTTATTTATAAAGCACTTTTCATACAAAAATGTAACACACACACACACACACATTAACCTGCTAAAATACATAAAACGACACATAGTAAAATGTGAGGCTGAATACAGGCGAACCAGTTGAGAAAGCATCATCAGAGGAGCCGTCTACATCAGGAGCAGAGAGACGTCCACCACCACCAGGAACCACCACAGGAGCCAGGGGAGAGATGAAGCCCAAGCTCCAACTCTCCACCAGGAGCCCACGGGACAGAACCCGGCAGCCACAGCCGACCTCTGCTCCTGATGCAGAGGGCTCCTACAGAGGAAACACTGCATATCCTAAAAATAAGTCTAAAATAAATAAATATAAATTAAAATGTGTATAGTAGAAACAAGTAAAAAATATGATATTTCATTCAAAAGCTAAGCTAAAAAGGTGGGTCTTGAGCCTACTCTTAAAAACATGAACGTTCTCTGCAGCCCTGAGCTCCTCCGGCTGCAGTTCCATAGACGAGGGCCACAGTACTGAAAAGACGCCTCTCCGTGAGTGTGTGTCCTGACTTTGGGAATGACAAGGAGCCTGCTGCCGGAGGAGCGCAGGGTCCGCGAGGGTTCGTAAGGTAAAAGGAGTTCTGAAAGATAAGAAGGCCCAAGACCATTAAGACATTTAAAAACCAGTAAAAGAACTTTAAAATCGATCCTGAAACTCACAGGGAGCCTATGCAGTGATTTTAAAACCGGTGTAATGTAATGTAGTGAAGGTGTATGAAGTTTAAAAACATAGTGGAGCACTTCTTGTATTATCGCACGACATCACAAGGGGGAACAGAGTGTTTTCTGTTTGAGAGAAGAACCATAAAGCCTAAATATGCAGGATTTGTGTGTTAAACATGTGTGAATGAAATAAAACACAACTCCAGGTCTGTTTTTGATGAGGAAACAACATACAGGCCCTTTAAACAATCTTGAGTAAATTTTTTTGTTGATTCTACCCACTTCTGATTTGTACACATGAGCTCATATCTCTTCGGTGTCTCACATTTGTAGCAGTATAACTCCGACTTGTACAAAATGAATAGATCAGATATTTCGGGTTAGCAATCAAACCGCTTCTTAAGGAGATACTGAATTTTTAATGGGCCCCATGTTTTCTGCAATGACATTTTTATTTCTCAATTAAACGCGCCGAGCAGTTTACTTCACGCTGAATATTTCTCTTTCATTCTAGATGTCAACGATAATGTGCCCTTCTTCACCTCCTCCATCTACGAGGCCTCGGTGACCGAAGGGGCGCAGATAGGAACGTCGGTGCTGCAGGTGTCCGCCTTCGACAAAGACCTGGGCCTGAACGGAGAGGTGGGTCGCTCATATTTATGTTTGCTTTACAATAATAACTAGCCGATACTGGTAGTGATGTAATGATATTCACGATATGCATCTCACAGTTCGATATTTACTGTGGAGGCTGATTTTGAATTTTGAATATGCTGCATTTTCTTTTTAAAATGCCTTGACAAGACTTTGGTTCTGTCATAATCCAAAGAATTAAGATTTAAAAGTGCTTATAAAAGTTATTTCTTCATGTACTAGTAGTCGGCACCGAAACGGAGCAAAGGATCGTGGTCTAAGTAGTTGCCTCGGTTCTTTTCTGTCCGCGCGGCGTGGTTAAGTCCAGGCTAAATCCTGGTTTAGTCCTGGTTTAGTCCTGTTTTAGACTTGGTTTAGACCTGGTTAAGTCCTGGTTCAGACTTGTTTAATCCTGGTTCAGACTTGGTTTAGATCTGGTTTAGACCTGGTTTAGACTGGTTTAGTCCTGGTTTAGTCCTGGTTTTAGTTCTGGTTTAGACCTGGTTTAGTCTTGGTTTAGACCTGGTTTTAGTCCTGGTTTAGTCCTGGTTTTAGTTCTTGTTTAGACCTGGTTTAGTCTTGGTTTAGACCTGGTTTAGACCTGGTTTAGACCTGATTTAGACTTGGTTTAGACCTGGTTTAGTCCTGGTTTAGACCTGGTTTAGACCTGGTTTAGTCCTGGTTTTAGACCTGGTTTAGACCTGGTTTCAGTCCTGGTTTAGACCTGGTTTAGTCCTGGTTTAGGCCTGATTTAGTCCTGGTTTAGTCCTGGTTTAGGCCTGATTTTGACCTGGTTTAGACCTGGTTTAGTCCTGGTTTAGGCCTGATTTAGTCCTGGTTTAGACCTGGTTTAGACCTGATTTAGACCTGGTTTAGACCTGGTTCAGTCCTGGTTTAGACCTGGTTTAGACCTGGTTTAGTCCTGGTTTAGACCTGGTTTAGACCTGGTTCAGTCCTGGCTTAGACCTGGTTTAGTCCTGGTTTAGGCCTGATTTAGACCTGGTTTAGACCTGGTTTAGTCCTGGTTTAGACCTGGTTTAAACCTGATTTAGACTTGGTTTAGACCTGGTTCAGTCCTGGTTTAGACCTAGTTTAGACCTGGTTCAGTCCTGGTTTAGACCTGGTTCAGTCCTGGTTTAGACCTGATTTAGTCCTGTTTAGTCCTGGTTTAGACCTGTTTAGTCCTGGTTTTAGTCCTGGTTTAGGCCTGATTTAGACCTGGTTTAGACCTGGTTTAGTCCTGGTTTAGACCTGATTTAGTCCTGGTTTAGTCCTGGTTTAGACCTGGTTTAGACCTGGTTTAGACCTGGTTTAGACCTGGTTCAGTCCTGGTTTAGACCTGGTTTAGACCTGGTTTAGACCTAGTTTAGACCTAGTTTAGTCCCTGTTTTAGTCCTGGTTTAGACCTCGTTTAGTCCTGGTTTAGTCCTGGTTTATACCTAGGTTTGTCCCTGTTTTAGTCCTGGTTTAGACCTGGTTTAGTCCTGGTTTAGTCCTGGTTTTTACCTGGTTTAGTCCTGGTCTATACCTGGTTTAATTATCACGATATTTCGGTTCTTGTTTTGGATATTGGCACCAATACTGAAAAATTTGTTGAATCGTGTATCGGTTCCATGATACTGGTTAAGTCGATATTCAGGTTGGGCCTTTTTTGGATGTAATAAGACTCTTTACATTCAGATTTTGGCCTAGAACCTCTCGTATTATATTATATTATATTTTTTCATACAAAATTGTTCACTAGTTAATTGAAGGATAAATAACAGTTATATTAACACAATTGGATTTCATGTGTGTTAAGTTAACCATGTTTTAAAGAATTAAATGCTATTTTAACGTCCCTGCACTGGTATTGGTCAATATCGTGTATCGGCAGTTACATAAAGTGAAAGTGTTGATATTGGTATCGGAACTGAAAAAAGCAATAACAACCATAACAATAACAACGACAGTAATGATAATTAGGGATGTAACAATATCGATACGACATTTTCACGATATGCATCTCACTGTACGATATTTATTGTGATATATTGTAGAGACTAACAAAATTGTGAATATGATTTTCCTTTTAAAAGTTTTGGAAAATCCTTGGAGCCTTTGGTATTGTTATAATATGAAGAATTTAAAAGTGCTTAATCACAGTTATTCTTCATGTAGTTTGGATCATTTCAGAATTTCTGAATTTATTTGTCATTTACGCAGAAAAAAACACACAGAAACCAAACACTGCACTCAGGTCCAGGTCATCAGCAGCACAAATAATAATAAGAATAAATAGTTTTAAAATATCGTGTGTCAAATACAGTCTTTAAAAAAACAACCCCCACTCACCCCCATTTTCTAAAGTGCTTTCCAAGTCAGTGCTGTTTTGTAAGGTGCATTAGTGTCAAGGCTACATGACAGGATTGATCTGCCTAACAGCATCAGGGTAGAAATTGTTCTGGAGTCTGGAGGTCCTGGCCTGTAGGTGGTGCAGTCTTGATGCAAGAGCTGTAAATAAGTCCATGTGCTGGATGGGTGGACTCCGTGATGCTGTAGGCTTTTGTTCTGCACCTACTGATGTAGATTATCCAGCGACTAGGTCAGGAATCGGAATACACTAGACCAGGGGTGGGCAAACTTTTTGGCTCGCGGGCCACATAGGGTCCTAAAATTTGCATGAAGGGCCGGACAGAACACAGGATACGACGTGTAAAGAGCTCAGCTGCATTTTATTCGTATTTACGCTTATGTAGGAAGCACACTATGCGCTACGACATTGCCGCGAAAAATCCAGAATATATTAAAATTAACAAATCTGTTCCACTACATATCACAGGCGAAAGTGAATCGCAAGCGACTGTGTCTTACTGAGAAACAAAACCCACGCCACAAATCCACGTGCGGCACAACAAAAATCTTAAAACGCCGGAAATGCATGAAAAATAAAACATCAACAAGGTTTATTATTGTAATTTATTCCAATTCGGCAGGCCGGATTAAAAGGTATAAAGGGCCGCATATGGCCCCCGGGCCGTAGTTTGCCCACCCCTGCACTAGACGGTTTGCAAGAACTTTGGAAATTGTAGACCATGCACTTGCCAATCAGCGAAGAGCTATGAAGCCATGACGTCAAAGTCAAGTGCCTGTCTGGGTCCCTTTTGTGGTTGAGCAGAACAGTAAACAAAGCGGTCGAGATGGATGTAGACAAAGACAGACATTCTGGGTTGGCAACGATTCCCGAGATCCCGAACAAAGAGAATATTTGGCGAATTTTATCAAGGGGAAAGACGTTATTGTCCTTCTTCCTGCAGGATTTGGGAAAAGCTTAATATACCAGTTAGCCCCGGTAGCGGCGCATTACCAAATAGCAGCGATTGGTTAAATAAAAAAAAAGTACCCACCTACAGTCAAGTGAATGAATCCTAATGCTGCGAAGTCAGACGGTTTCCACGAAGTGAAACTGGCTGATGAATCTGGCTAATTAATGTAAGTCCTTTTGGGGTTTTTGCCTCTTCCGACACCTACTTTTTAAAATCTATTTATTTTTTATTTTTTTTATTGTTATGTTATATACGTGTAAAATAAATAAATAAATACATTGTCATAGTGTCATATCCAACCCATGTCCATTGCAAGGTAATGTCCGAATGTTCACAATATGTTTAGAGAAAATAAAACAAAAAACAAAAAAAGGAAGAAGGCAGAGAATGGCTCATCGAAGGGATCAAATTTATCCTTGTATATTTATAATCTGTTGAAATTCTTACGATTATATTGTGACTTTAATATCACATTTTAATCTTGACATTCCTGCTAATTAGAAATTAGAAGTACAAATGTGAAAAGTTAAAATTCACAATGTAATGTCTGTCGAGGTGCATTACATACGTCACGGACCAAATAGCAGCGATTGGTTAAATAAAAACTACTACTACTGTTGAGTGAATGAACCCTAATGCTGCGAGGTCAGACAGTTTCCACAATGTGAAACCGGCTGATGAATCAGACTAAATGTAGATGTCTTCAGTGCAGACTACAGTCACAGATGTGCGCAGCAGTCCTTTCCTCTCTGCCACAGTGCTGCTCCTGAACCACACATTCATGTTGGAGGTGAAGCTACTCTTCACTGCACACCTGTTAAAGGCCGCCAGGACAGAGGGGCCCGGACCTGCTTTTTTTGGCGCCAAGGTAGAAAGTAGAGATGTTGATGTGCTTTCTTTAGTACGCAGCTGGTATTGTTCGACCAGGTGAGATTGCTCATGATTTGGACTCCCTGGTATTTGAAGCTAGAGACCAATCAATCCATCTCCATTGTTGTACAGAGGGGAGGTGGCACTGGGTTCCCTGCGAAAATCCACAATCATCTCCTTTGTTTTCTTTACATTGAAGCACAGATTGTTTTGTAACTGTACGAAATGAACTAGTGAGATATGAATGGTACATGTATCCAGGAATCTAGGTTCTCCAGGAGGAAAGAAGGTGTAATACGTTAGGAGCTAAGTGAGTGACGCACTCATAAATGAGCAGCGTGCACAGAAGGGGGCTTAGCACACAGCCCTGGGGTGAGCCAGTGCTGAGGCCAGATTTTAGAACCAAGTCGTTGTTTTGCGAGTCTCAAGTTTTTCACCTCAAGTCCGAGGTCAATTCCCAAGTCAAAGATAGGCAAGTCCAAGTTGAGTCTTGAGTCACTGGGCCGTAAGTTCAAATTGAGTCCAAGTCGTCTGCTTTGAGCTTCAAGTCATTTCAAGTCTTTATACCAAATATAGCTTAGATTTTTGCAATTTATATGATTTCTAAACTAAATTGTAAAAAGTCTGGTTTATTTATATAAGAAGTAACATATATAAGTATGTAGAAATGCATTTTTTTTTTTCCTTTTTAAGCGTCTTGACAAGATTTTAGCGTGAATTATTACAGTCAAAATCGAGTATTCAGAAGTTTAAAAGTGCTAAATAACAGTTATTTTGTCATGAAATGGAAGGATCATGCTCTATGTAGATCCCCGCTGTGTTCTACTGTTTTGTACTGTATATTACTGTAGTACTTTTGAGGATACCACATCACAGTACTTCAGTTCCATCTAAAGTAACAAACAGAAATGGGAGAGACATGTTCTAGTTTGTTCCTGTAAAATTCAGTACCACATTTATCCATCTGTAAAGAGAAAAGTATTTTCTAACAACATATATATATTTTTAGGAGAAGCATCAAGTCTTCACAAGTCACAGGGCTCAAGTCCAAATCAAGTCCCAAGTCACTGATCTTCAAGTCCAAGTCGAGTCCCAAATCTTAGTTTATTTATCAAGTCAAGTCTCAAGTCCTAAGAATAGTGACTCAAGTCTGACTTGAGTCCAAATCATGGCTTGTAAGTCCCCACGTCTGGCTGAGGCAGATGGAGGAAGATGTTGAATATGTTGAATATGTTGAAGATGTTGTGAATCTTTACAGTTTGTGGTGTGTTGGTGAGGAAATCTAAAATCCAGTTGCACAGCGTCCTGCTAAACCAAGGAGAATGAGACTGTTGACCAGTGTCTGTGGTATTATGGTATTAAATGCAGAACTGAAATCCAAAAAAAAAAGGTGCCTGACATAAGAATCCTTTTTTTACCCAGATGAGTTAGAGCCAGTCCAGATATCGGCATCAACGGTGGAGCGATTTTTACGCAGCCACGTTTATGGACCTCTTTATTTCTACCATAACCAGGCTTTTGAAACATTTCATGGTGGTCAAAGTCAGAGCCTAGAGGTCCATGTAGTGCCTTCTGTTTTTTAGCTATTTCTTCACTATGTCAAGACAAGGACAAGGTTTATTTGTATTACACATTCACACACAAAGTCATTTAAAAGTGCTTTACAGAATTAAGAAAGACATTAAAATCTCCATAACTATTCATTTAAGCAAAGAGATTTGAGCTACAAAACCAGCTGCAATTGAATAAATGTAAGGTAGAGCTGTTTAATGTCATGCTGTGGAACATTCCAGGCCGTACGACAGTGAGTGTATCCGAGTCTGTGATGTGTTTGGGCAGTTTTCCAGCGGTGGGGGCAGCAGGGGAGAAGCCTGTGTCCCTCCAGGTCCGGTGTTTAGTCGTGGTGAAGGGAGACGGGAGGTTGGCATCATTTCAGAGCGTTCAGACGCACCTAAGCAGAGTCTTTTTCCGGCTCCACCATCATTGTCTTGTCACAAAGCACATTGAAGATTGCCCAACCATAATGGCGTCTTGGGGGAAGCTTTTGTTCACAGTTGTTAGTAGCTGCGCTGCTTCAGCTGAATGACTGACAGAGTAATGTTTGCAGGCATTTGAATTGATCGGGTCTGTCTTCTGTAATAGCTGTAAGGGCTCTGTAATCACGACTTTATGTCACTTATTCGAAAACTATTCGGCAAGTTTTCATGTTTTGTAACCAAATGGATGGGAGGAGAAAGCTTAATGGCAAAATGTATTGAATCAGCTTCAGCTCTGAGCGGTCGCTAAAGTAACTCAAGTTGACAGTTTGAACCCCGCTCAGACTGGTGCGCTCTGTTGTTTTTGTGTGTCAGTCACCCCAGGGCAGCTGTGTTTACAGAAGTAACTTACCACCACAAGTAGGGGGTGAGCGTGTAAAGCACAAAATTGTAAAGCAGTTTTAAGCGCGGGGCTCTATAGGGGAATAATGCTTTATATTTATTGTCCTGCCACTAGGGATGGGCGTTCGATGAAATTTTCTTAATCGATCATTGGGTAAAAGTAAAAGTATCATCTTTATTATTATTATTACTAATCTGCATAAATAAACTCAACTTTACAACATACAAACCATAACCACTACAGAGCCACATCAGCCCGTTTGAGATTATAACGTATTTAATGCAGTTTTACACAAGTCTTACAGAAACGAAACTTAAAACTGCATGGCTAATTTGCATAAACTAATCAGTGGTTTGTGTGCTCATGCGGTTCAGCTTCTGTTGGACTAAAGGACACAACTCAGTGGAATATAGGTGTTCTTTCTGTGACAGAGGGATGCTCATCACGTTGGAGATGGTTCATGTTTTCAGAGATCAGATGTGTGCAGGTTTAGCGCAGCTCCTTATGTTGCAGTAACAGGGATACTGCGTTTACATGCACCAAGATGAAACTGGGATACAGATGTGCATGTAAACACACTCACTGATTGGTGCGGTGATCTCCAAGGAGGAAGCAGAGCCCAAACGTGGGACTGTGAAGCCGCGACTTCAGTGTTTGTGTCAGATGCAGCTTCGTCTCTACGCACAGCAACCTACATTCAGTTTGTCGATTAAAAATGAACGTAATCGACAAAATTCTTAATGATCCATTATTCATTCAGTCGACTAATCATGCCCATCCCTACCTGCTACAGTGTTTTATTTGTCTGTTGTGCTCCACAGATCACTTACACTTTACTGAGTGACAGCAGCGGTGACCACAGTCTGTTCCGCATGGACCCAGCTCTTGGAATCATCTACACAGAGGCAGTGTTTGACCGAGAGGCGCGCAGCTCCTACCTGCTCGAGGTGCAGTCTGAGGATGGACAGGAGTCTGCACGGCCGGGGAAAAACAAACAGCCAAATTCAGGTACTTTCCTAAAAAGCAAGTGTGTACACAGAGGGTTGAGTTTATGCACGGAGGGGTGAGGAGGTCACCGCTGTGATTAATATAATTACCCAGTTTATTATCAAACATTAACATAAAATAGCTTAAATTTGCTTCAAGCCAGAAACCCCAAAATTACTACTATGACGTACAGTCTGTGACTTCCAAAGTTATATTTTAAAGTGACCTCTACTAAAGCGCAGTAGCTGAGCCATAAAAAGTAACATTGTTCTGTGCCCATAGGGCTGTAACAGAGGCTCTTCTCCCTCTGCTGTGTTTTAAGCAGACTGCACAAGCACACAATTACCACAATCATGTACCCATCGGGGCTGACTTTTAGAATGACCAATTTATGTCACGACCGCTGCCTCTTGACATAAAATAGAAAGAAAAAAAAAGAAAAAACTCTCTTTGTTTCTTTACTTTTTTGTCTTTTTCCTATTTTGGTGATTAAATGTTTGTCTATTTTTTTCCGTGTATGTCCCCCGTGTCCTTGTCCTGTGTCCTGTGGAACCCTCTGACTCCCAGCCAACCCCATGCGTCCGCTGTGATGTATTTTGACGTGTATTCCAGAGCGGCTCTTTGCTAATGTTTGTGATGGAGATATTCGGGGTAAAGGGTGATGTTCTGAGAAGCCTCTCTGTGGAGCTGTCAGGGCTGCTTAGCATTTGCAATGAGCCTTATCCAGGTTTTCCGTTACGCATCTCCACATCCAGAAGGGCTCATCTCCACTGCAAACATTACCTGTCTGCCTGCCTCACCCCTGGGATACAGCTCCAGCTCCAGCATCCTCTCTTATTGCAGTGGAGCCAAATTAACATGTCACCTATGTATTCTGTGTGTAAGTCACTCCTCTCCAACGAAAGAAATAAACAGCATAATGAGGGAGCGAGATAAGACACAAGCACTTGTCATCTTATAAATATTTAACCTCCCAGTAGAGAGAGGTTCTTTATCTACTCGCTGAAAAAAAATTCCCCTGTTTAAAAGGTTCAGCCCTAATACTGTTATTCACTCATGAAAACAGTCTCGTTAAAACAATAAAACAATAATCTCTTTATAGTGATTTACTGCTCCTTGACTGTGAAAAATGTTTTGTGTGATTCTCTGTCACCAAGCCATTTTCTGCGAGGTTAAGTGTCTCCTCTGCGCCGAACGCTAATAATAAAACAGTGCTGGAACATAATGAAGTAAAAAATAATAAAGCACTGTACTTAAAGGTGCATTGTGTAACTGTCCTGGTGGAGGGTTTAATACCGGCTTGTTTCTGTGGATATATCATACAGGGTTAGTCGGATTCATCAGCCGGTTTCACTTCGTAGAAACCGTCTGACCCCACAGCATTAGGATTCGTTCGTTTGACAGTAGGCAGATTTTTTTTTTTATTTAACCAATCGCTGCTATTTGGTCGTGACGTATGTAATTCGCAGCGAACGGGGATTATGGGGATATTAAGCTTTTCCCAAATCCCGTAGGTAGAAGTAAAATAAAGTCTTTCCCCTTGATAAAATTCACCAAACATTCTCTTCGTTCCGGCTTTAAATCCTCGATCTTGGGAATCGTTGCCAACACAGAATATATGGCTCTTCGCTGATTGGCTGGTGTCCAAACTCGCACTTTTGGGGTTTTTGCGAGCCGTCTAGTGCTGGGATCTCCAACCTGTGGCTCGGGAACTACCAGTAGCTCTCCACCTCCTTACAAGTAGTTCGCCAAAGGGTTTCTGAATTATACGTATTGTACTAAATAACTCAAATTTGATTAATTACCACAGTAAATGTGTTATTTTGAATTTTTTGCACTAATAAATTCGAAAATGGTTTAATGTTTTATACGCATCTAACTATACATCTAAGGCTTGCCCTCTTACATCGAAAACATTTTTTTGGAACCACTAAAAGAGTAACTCTTAAGGCATTTTCATTTTGTAAAAGGTAGCTCATCGGACATAAAAGGTTGGAGATCACTGGTCTAGTGTATTCTGATTCCTGACCTAGTCGCTGGAGAGAAATGAAATTGAGCGGAGGCACTAGGTGGCTAATTCAGGGTTTCCACGGTCATGGAAATCCTGGAAAAGTAAATGTAAATTTGCAAACTCAATGAACATTTTGGAAAAGTCATGGAATTTTAGTATCTCTTTCACGCAACTACAGCGTTCAGTTAAGTTCTCATTAGGCTGTTATGATTATTTCTGAACGTACACTACTGGTCAAAAGATTTAGAACATCACACTTTTTCCATTTTTTTACTGTTTACTGTTGACCAAAATATATTCTAAACTTCTTTTGATTCATGAAAGTGTTCATCTTTGGCAAATATAACAGCTGAACACACTCGTGGCTCGTTCTTTTTACAATAGAAATCAAATATTCTTCAGAAAGTTCTTCCTAAGTCTGTTTCAGAAGTTTCCATAAATGTGTGGCACTTGTAGGTTGCTTCACTCTTCTGTCCAGTTCATCCCAAACCAGCTCGATGGGGTTTAAGTCTGGACACTGTGCTGGATACTGTGCTGTCAGCTGTGTCTGTTGTGAGAGTATATTTCTAAAAATTTGTATTCACATTTTTACTGAGATTATATGACGTCATTTCCTCTCAGCAGACGGCAGCGGCTTTAACAAAACTCCACAAAACTAGTGAAGAGAAACGATCTGAGGCGGTGGAAAAGTCTGTATTATTATATAAAATATGAATCAAAAGCAAGTTACCACCTCTGTCTGTTCAGTTCTTACATTTTTGTACCATTTCAAGCTCTTCATTGAACTGACACGACTTGAACTGCAAAAAATAACTGGAAAAATTAGGGTGTTCCAAATCTTTTGACCGGTAGTGTATGCACTTTTTGTTTTAAAGAGACGACAATAATGCACTGACAATATTTTGAATGTAAAAAACTATAAAACCAAACCATAAGGTGAGTGGAAAGGGTTAACATTTTATATTTAGTCCTAAAAGTCTGATCAATTCTACACATGTAGGTGCAGTAAAGTCATGGAAAATTCACTTTAGGTCATGGAAAAGGTTTGAAATTTTGTCAGTGAAAAAAAAGTGGGAACCCTGGTCATTCTTGTGGCTGGAATGTTCCACAGTATGGCATTAAACAACTCTACTTTACATTTATTTAGTTACAGGTGGTTCTATAGCTCAAAAATACCTAGAAAAACAAAAAAACTGACTGTGAGCGGGGTCGCCTCTCCACAGATCTGACTTGTAACTTGGTCTGGTTTGGTTTCCATGAAGGTAGAAAGGTTTAATGCCATACTGTGAAACATTTCAGGCAAAGTAGCAACATCTCCATGGAGACAATAGGTGGCAGACCCTCTATCGGGAAAAATTACACAGTGCCATTTCTTCCAGCACTGATAATAAATAGTGAAATCACTGAACAGATGCAAACGTTTAATCTCACACCATTTTGTCATTCCTGCAGACACGGCGTATGTGCGGATTTTCATCAGCGACGTCAACGACAACAAGCCCGTCTTCGCTCAGAGGCTGTACGAGGTCGGCGTAGACGAGGATGCAGATGTGGGCCTCACTGTTGTCACTGTTAGCGCTAATGATGAAGATGAAGGTACGTCCGAGGAGGCAGGAGCGAACCAGAGGGCTCCCAGTGAGAATTTCAGTTTAGCTGCTTCTGAAAATGACTGTATTTTCTGGTCTTTGTCATAAGGTTGTTTCCTCATCACAAACATACAGTACGTGGAGTTGTGTTTTGTTTTATTCACACGTTTAACACACAAACCTGCTTATTCGGGTTCTTTAGAGTTGTTCTCTCAAACAGAAAACACTCTGTTCCACCTTGTGATGTCATGTGGTGGTACAAGACGTGGTCCACAGTGTTTTTAAACTCCACACACCTTGACTAGAATCATTTGGGTAATTTCAGATCTGGAATTACCAATCTCTACTGAACTAAAGGCATTTTGAGCTTTGGAGATGTAGACAGACTAACGTATTTTTTGGACTATAAGTCGCTCTGGAGTATAAGTTGCACCAGCCAAAAAATGCGTAATGAAGAAGAAAAAAAAAACATATACACTATAAGTTGCACTGGACTATAAGTTGGACTTCTGGGGGGAAAATTATTGTATAAAATTAGAGACCAGGAACCAACATTTCATCTTGAAAGGCAAGTTATAGTAATAACATTAGAACAGAGAACAACAGACTGTTAACGTCACATGTGAACAGTTCTTCATATGACTATAGTATAAACCAGGGGTTCTTAACTTTTTTCAATCTTGGGGCCTGACCTTTTCTGAACAAAGTAACCTGGAGCCCTATCTCATATTAAATGCATTATATTGTACTGATTGTGGGGCCCCCAAGGAGGTGGTCCTGGCCCTATAGTTAAGAATCACTGGCATAAACAACAGAACATGTTTACCAAACTCTTCATCTCACTCCAGATCACTAAATCCATTCAATTCTTCATCTTTGCTGTCACTTCTGAGCAACTCCGTGACCTCCGGAGGTAAACAGAGCGCCGCTTCCTCTTCTGTGTCGCTGTCGTCAGACTCAGCATCAGTTCCAGTTAGAATTATTCCGGCATTTCTTAATCTCGACAGGATGGTTTCAGTTAGGGCTGGGTATTATTCAGAAGTTGCCGATATGATACATACCTCAATACATAGGCCACGATACGATACATATCTCGATACGGTGAGCTTACGATTCAGCATGATTTAATACAAAATATTTCAAATTGATTCGATACAGTTGAATAAAAAATAATTTCTAAGTCATGTCTGTGATAATAAAAGTCTTTGTTAAACCACTTCTTGTGCAAAGTGAACATGAAACATGAACATTTTAATCATGAAAACAGTGAAAATGTCAAATGTGTCGCATAAACGAGTTTCCTTCCACTGAACAAGCAACAAAACTGTAGCTGTAACAAAATAATTTTGTAAAATATACCAAAAAATACTCTTGGCGATATATCAATACAGCAGCCCACGATATCGATACTGTATCATCACATTAAATGATACGATATATCGATATTTCAATATTTTTGTACACCCCTAGTTTCAGTTCAGTGGTACAGAAGTAATAAAGGACAGAGGCTCTTTCTGCAGGAGACATGCACAGTAGAGTGAAGTGACAGTGGTGCAGGAGTAACAGGAGCAGCAGATACTGACACAGAAGTCTAGAGCCTCTCAATTTTAATATATAAGTTGCACCAGAGTATAGGTCACAGGAAACACCCAGACTATGAAAAAAGTGCGACTTATAATCAGAAAAATATGTTAATAATGCAGGATTAGCCGGATTACTCAGACGTGTGAATGAAACAAAACACAACTCTAGACAGATTTCTGATGAGCTGATAGTATTAAAACATGTCTTAAAACTCACAAGAGTCAGTTTTGCATAATATAGGATCTTGAATTGGATTACACGTTTCATATAGTACGCACTCCTCAGACATTCACATAATATCCATGTCATTGCTCCGTGTCTGCTGTTTTAATTTTATTAGAGAAAGCGCTGACTAAAGCATGTCGAAATCCTCTTGTACAGGATTTTTTATGTTACTCTATTGCATCATTGCAGACCGTAGAGAAATGTAAATATTTCAGCTCGAGTGAGACTTTGAGCTTTGTAACACGAGAGACCTTTTACATGAACAAACGTTTTTAACTCACTAAAGCAAAAGAAAAGGACATAAAAGCTCAATAGGGGATCTTTACAACAGAGGAATCGCCGCGTATTTAATGGCTGTATTTCAAAAAGGTACAAAAGTGTCTGGTTAAATAATACCTTTGTTTTTGGATCATTTTTATAATAGGTTCTTCTAGGCTTACTACACTGGTACAGGAACAGAAGGCTGTAAACACATGGGTATTACACCTCATTTCCTCCAAGACCCAAGCATTAGTAGGTTTTCATGTATTCCCCACTTGTTTTGATTACTTAATTAAATGGAAACTCTGTACCTCGTCTACTCCACTTTAATCAGATACTAATTAAAAAAAAGTGCTGAAAAAACTAGAAAGTGTGCACGGGAACAAAAAGCCATGCTGCCTTTTCGTGCTCCACTCTGGTGCTATTCACCAGGGAGCGCTTTTTGAGCTTGAGAGAAGGAGGTGGATGTAGTTTAGTAAAGAGGAAGTCAATATCTGACCTTATCTCCTCTCTATGGAGACTGCTCAATCTGCTGGTTTAAAGGGCCCATATTGCACAGAACTGACTCTTGTGAGCGTTTAGCCATGTTATAATGTTGTTATCTCCTCAAAAACATACCTGGAGTTGTGTTTTGCTTCATTCACACATGTTTGAGAAATCCTGCGTTATTAGTCTGTCTCGCCAAAGCTCGAGATGTCACGACGCAATAGTTTTCAAGTTAACAGCTACATTTTACTTTTAGTTCAGTAGAGACCGGCAATTTCAAGGCTGAAATTACCCAAAATATTCTCGTGAAGGTGTGTGAAGTTTAAAACGGTTCTGATTTGAGAGAAGAACTCCTAAGGCTACGTCCACACAACAACACTCCTGGATTTTTTTCTTTGCGGGTTGAAAATCATTCACGTCCACACAAGTGCGGGATCAGTAAATATTCACGGAGCACTGAGTGAAAACGATGTAATACATATGCCACACCTGTATGTGGCGCTGTTAACAATGATAATAATTTTTAATAATGCAGATCTAATCACCGTTTTTTTAAACTTTAAGTTAATTTAGCCGACTTTAGATGTATTCCAGAAATACAGCCATTTTGTTTTGCAAAAGTTAAACATAAGTCACAGAAAGAACCCATATATTCCACTGAGTCGTGTTCTTTAGTCCGACAGAAGCTGAACCGCATCAGCGCACAATAGCGAGCTGTTTTTTGAGCACTTAGTTTATGCAAATTAGCCATGTGGTTTTAAGTTTCATTTCTGTAAAACGTAAACAAATATGTACAAATCTGTGTGGATACGGGAAGACTTGTGGACACAGAAACGACGTGTGTGGACGCAGATCCTTTCTGATACAGTGATACACGGATTTGTAATCTTTGTTATTGATCCGTGTGCATAATCTGCAGTGCGAGTTGTTAGTATTGGCGCTAGCAGCATGTCTCAGTTGCTGGGCGACAGGAGCGGCTCTGTAGGCTACACCTGTCACATTTTGGCAACGCTCTTGCGGTCTGTAGGCTAGTTGGAGGGCTGCAGGCTTCGCTGCATCAGAGGACCCTGGCGGTGACGGGATCGTGACGTCATCATTTTCCAAAAGCTGCGGTTTGCTCGTCCACACAACAACGCGACACCGGCGTTCTCAGATTTCTCCAGTCTGGAACTGTTTTCGCCCACCCGAAACACCGGCTCCATGTGGACGAAAGGCCAAAACGAATACAAACGTCTCAGTTTTGACCAAAAAACATTGTTGTGTGCATGTGCAAAACAAAACACAACTCCAGGTTTGTTTTTGATGAGGAAACACAACAACAGAGATCAGAAAATAGCGTAAAATGGGCCCTTTAACTCTGGCAGAAGATAAGATGATCTCCTGCTACGTTCAGACCACACTTTCAATCACGCAGTTGCTCTGAAGCACCTCAAATCCCATGTAAATACACTAATCTGCACTATTAACACTAGGCAGGCTGACAAAGTGTTTCCTCACCTCCCACTGTGAACTGGCAGCTTACACCAGTCAGGCCCTGGGCGGAGGTTCTTAAACAAGACAGATTGATTGTGGCCTCTTAGGCACAAGAGCAACAGTATTGTAAGTTTAATATTGGGGGCTGGTGTTGTGCCACTGCTATCCATCATTAGCGCGGCAGCCCACCCTAAGCTGCACCCCCGCTCCCATAAATACTTGATTAACGGACCCAAACAGGCCTGATAAAGGGATCTGAGACTGGGGCTGCACAGAGTCTGAGCCGCTGTTTTATTGGTTAAAACCCGCCCACCTGCTGTGTGGGAGCGTGTCAGTCTTTCTGGAACATATGTGCTACAGTGCATTACCGAGAACTGTGACGACTGCAGCTAAATCCAGCTCACTGCATGATTTAAAGCACCAGTATTGCATTATTTTCTGTGTTATTATTTTGTTTCCTCATCACAAACAGACCTAGAGTTGTGTTTTGTTTCAGTCACACATGTTTAACTCACAAATCCTGTATATTTAGGCTTTATGGTTCTTCTCTCAGACAGAAAACACTCTATTCCACCTTGTGATGTCATGTGGTAATAAAGTAAGTGCTCCATGTGCTTTTAAAAGACATACACCTTCACTAGAATCATCTGGATAATTTAAACCCTGGAATTACCAATCTCTACTGCGTAACATATCTGCTTCTCTTCGTGGAAATGTTATTGCGTCGTCTAGAATGTTCCACAGCGCAGATTAAACCAATCTATCACGAAGGGGACAAGCAGGTTACAGCACAACGCTACATTACAGTTCAGATCTGTGGAGAGTCGCTCCTGTTCACAGAAGGAATTACTGCATTTTTGAGCAATAAAAAACTAGGGATGGGCATTCGATTAAATTTTCTTAACTTAACGTTTTCATTATTACTATTATTAATCTGCATAAATAAATTCAACTTTAAAACATATAAACATAACCACTGCAGAGCCACATCAGCCCGTTTGAGATCATAATGTGTTTAACGCAGCTTTGCACACATTTGTTTACGTCTTACAGAAACAAAACTTAAAACCGCGTGGATCATTTTCATAAACTAAAAGCGCTGCTCTTAGCTCTTAGCAGCTCTTAATTTAACTTAATTTCACTATGTTTATGTTGGACACGTTATTTACTATTTTCAAACTTTTTTGCACAAATAAATCGCACCGGACTAAAGGAAACACAACAGTTTGATGGGTCAGTGGGACTTTGTTTGTGGCGTTCACGGTGACTCTGGGCTTTGTTCAGTTGTGGCGTGTAGGGAGGGTGCTGTCTGGGACCAACGCGGATTGTCGGCGTGTTCGCAGTGACTCAGTTGTTCAGTTGTGTCTAGAAGTGGCACATTGCACTCGCTTTTTCGATTCGTTCCTTCGTTCCGTTCCTCGTCGGCGTGGAGTGATGAGTGTGGCTGCGGGTGTTTTTCGCTGCGCGGTCGCTGTCTGCTCCATGCGTGTTTGTGTGCGCTGCGGGTGGTGCGGCTTTGTAGTTTACTGAAGTCGTACCTGAGTGGAATTCGTGTATAGGGCGCTCTGGATTGTGGGGTGCGCGATCGTTTTTTGATGGGGTTGGAGGCTTAAGAGCGCGTCTAATAGCCTGGAAAATACGATATTTAGGATACTCAAAAAACCCAATCATACCCGGGACACTGACCCGCATGTAAACACACTCACTGAGAGGTACATTGTCTCCAAGGAGCCAGAGCCCAAACACGGGACTGTGAGGCCACAACTCCAGTGTTTGTGTCAGACGCAGCCTCGTCGTTACGCTACGCACAGTGACCTATATTCGGTTTGTCGGTTAAAAATGAACGTGATCGATTAAATCCTTAATGATCAGTTGTCAATTAGTCGACAAATCATGCCCGTCCCTAATAGAAAAACACATAATGAATAAATGCTGAGTCATTCCATGGAGACGAGCAGGTAGCAGACCCTACACCAGAAAAGTTGCACAGTGCACCTTTAACGGTAAGGCAAAAGGTAGCTCGCTGTCTTGCAAAGTAAATGAAACGGAAAACGCACGCCAAGGTTCTTAGAAGTGCAAATGCAAGGAACAGTAAAATAAAAGTGAAAAAATGCATAGCGCACTCAGATGGCCGATGTTCAAAAGCTTTTTCTTTATTTTTAAATAACGTTTCGGCAAAAAAGCCTTCGTCAGATCATTTTTCTTGCTTTGGATCACAGTATAACTATGACTACACGACATCACAAGGTGGAACAGAGCATTTTGAGCTTTGGAGATGTAGACAGACTAATAACAAAGGGTTACTTAAACGTGCGAATGAATCAAAACACGACTGCATGTATGTTTTTGAGGAGGAAACAGCATTACAACATGGCTAAAACCACACAAGAATCTTCCTTTAAGCTGCTCAGAGGGAAACGCAGCTCCGAGGGTCACTTAATGAATATTGCTACAAAGAGAAATGTTTGCAAAAAAATATGCCGAGTTGGCAAAAACCGGCGGGAGGAAGAATGAGTGATAAGCTGCCAAAATATTTCACTCAAAAAAAGGGATTCAGGTGTAGAATGAAAATCAATGCACGACTGAAACTTTTGTGGAAGTTTAAAAGAGGCTTACAAAACTTTCTTATTGGTTCTGGTTGGATGGGTTTCATAACCTTTATCGGTCCTATATTACGCAAATGTGACTCTCGTGAACTTTAAGCTGTGTTATAAATGTTATCTCATCAAAATCAGACCTGAGTTGTGTTTTGTTTCATTCACATGTTTGAGTAATCCTGTATTATCTGTTTGTTTACATCTCCAAAGCTCAAAATGCTCCATGTTATTAGGTTATTTTTTCAGACCAAGAGTTTGTTTTCATACCTGACAGTTTCGACGGCTCACTATCGGTCTTCCTCAGAGTGATCACGTGATGTTGCTGTGACGTGTCTGGTCAGCTGATTTATACAAGTACACGAAAAAAGGAACGTAAGACAGAATGCGAGAAGGAAACAGCGAAAGCGTGCACACAAAACAGAACTGGAACATCTCAAATTGGCCGTTTCTGAGCTCTGTAAAAGAGAGAACCACATTATGGACTGGGACCCGAGGATGACAAACATTGTTGCTGGATTAAAGAGGCAATTGAAATATAGAAACATGCCCACGGGACTATAAACCGGGACGAGGGGGCTTTTTTATTCTCACACACCTGGGGTACTGTCCTGAGGAAGTCGGACTGCAGATGGCGCTGTCGTCCTGCCTCCACCGGTAGGAAAACAGCGCCAAAACCTGTTTAAATCAGCCGACCGGACACGTCACAGCAACATCACGTGATCACTCTGAGGTAGATGTCTGCGTGGGACACAAGTTTCAGTCCCACTCCCGCCCGCATCGGCAAAGAATTGTAGTTTTCATTCCCGTTCCTGCCCGCATCTGCAATGTTTTGTCCCGCTCTCGCCTGCAAATCCTGCAAGATGGGTACGCTCACTTTCTTAAGTTCTATCGCAGAGGAACTGTCTCAAATGTGTGCATGAGATTAGACCACATCCACAAATATAGGCTGCTTAAAATGTTTTTATTAATGCCAAATAAAGTATCCAGCACAAGGCAAGGCAAGTTTATTTGTATAGCACAATTCGTACACAAAGTAATTCAAAGTGCTTTACAGAATAAGAAATACATTAAAATCATAATCAAAACAAATCAAAACATAAATAATCATGAAGATTAAAATTTTTAAAAAAGAGAGACAGGAAATTGGAGAGAAGAGTGGAAGTGAAAACCTTTCAGTTATTTGCACAGTTAAACAGAAATGTTGAGCCTGGATTTAAACAGCGTCACAGAAGAGTCTGTCTCACATGTCAGACTGTTCCAGGTTTTAGCTGCATGAACCTGAAACTCTGACTCCCTTGTTTAGTCGTGACTCTGGCACCAGCAGGAGCCGGTCCTGAGGTCCTCAGAGGGTGAGATGTTCATATGAACTAACATGTCACAGATGGACTTTGGTGCTTGGTTGTGGAGAGACTTGCAGAGCTGCTTTAAAGTCTCTGAGGCACAGGAGTCAGTGCAGAGACCTGAGCACAGGACTTATGTGCTCGTACTTCCTAGTTCGAGTCAGGACCCGAGCTGCGTTCTGGATGTTCTGGATGTTCTGGATGTTCTGGATGTTCTGGATGTTCTGCAGCGTCTCACAGCTCGTTTGGAGAGACCAGTGAGCAGAACATTACTGTATCTAACCTACTGGAGACAAACGCATGGATAAGTTTCTCCAAGTCTGATTTAGACAGTAAACCTTTGATTTTCGCTATGTTTTTTAGATGGTAAATGATGCATCATAGGCATACATGAATCATTTGTATATTTTACTTTACACTCATATTTAGTTTGTGGGACTGCGGGTTATCATCCCATCTGCTCTCTCCCGCATTGTGCATGTGAGCTTGATGAGCTTTCAAAATGTGTCTCGCATCGTACTGTTTTGCATCGGATCCCACGGGTGCAGGGCTCTACTCTAAGGAAGTGCGCTAGTGAGCAGTCAAAACTGTCAGGTATGAAAACAAACTCTTGGGAAAAAGAACCTAATAACATCAATTATCAGAAGACCAAATGAACCTCGATGGATCAAAATGCTCAGTTCCAAATTGTGATGTCATGAAGCCGTATTTTTCAAGTCAACAACTACATTTTGCCTTCAGTTCATGACATCATGAGTTGGAACAGAGTGTTTTCTGTTTCAAATCCAAACCCACTTTATTTCTAGAGCACATTTTACAAACAAAGCAGTTTCCAAAGTGCTGCACATGCCCAGAGATCACAAAATGAAGACAACAAAAAGGTAAATTGCAAAAATTTGGTTATACCAGTCCTAAAACAACAAAACCAGTAGAAATCAAATAAAAGGAAGAACCATAAAATCATAAATAAGTAAAATAGATCAGCAGTTGTGCGTTAAACGTGTGAATGAAACAAAACACAACTCCAGGTCTGTTTGCGATGAGGAAACAACATTATAACACAGCTCAGAAAAGAGCGTAAGATGAGCCCTTTAATACGCTATTCTTCTGAAATGATTAATCAATGCGTTCAAAAACAATTGCCGTAGAAAATCCTGCGATTCTTTAGTTTATTTATAATTTTCTCTCCTTCTCATGTATTCCCTCAAACCGTCGCAGGAGCCAATGCCAAGCTGCGCTACCAGATAACGTCAGGAAACAAAGGTGGCGTTTTTGACATCGAGCCAGAAGTGGGCACCATTTTTATCGCTCAGGCGTTGGATTACGAGCAGCAGAAACGCTACAAGCTCCTGGTCCTGGCCTCGGACGGGAAGTGGGAGGACTACGCGGCCGTGGTGGTGACGGTGGTTAATAAGAACGACGAAGCGCCGGTGTTTTCCATGAACGAGTATTACGGATCAGTCACGGAGGAGCTGGACGGGTCGCCGGTGTTTGTGCTTCAGGTGAGAGGAGGAGATCACGCTGTTTTCTCCTGATGCTGGGCTCTAATGACTGTAATAGCTGTGTCATTAGCCCCGCTGACTTCTGCTTCCTAAAATCAGGGGTGGTACTGCAAAAGAAAATCTAATACTGTCAGATGGATATAGACGTTTTTAGAGCAGCTTTTTTCAGTTCTGGTCATAGACTGTTTATATTTTAAGGCTGTAACTTTTTGGTTTGGGGTCCGTCACCTGCTTGTTTCTATGGATATGTCACTGCTAAGTCTGGAATGTTCCACAGTGTGATATTAAACAGCTCTACTTTACATTTATTCAATTACAGGTGCTTTTAAAACTCAAAAATACCTTGAAAAACAGGACTACACCAGGACTAAACCAAGACTACACCAGGACTGAACCAGGACTAAACCAGGACTAAACCAGGACTACACCAGGACTAAACCAGGTCTAAACCAGGACTAACACCAGAACTAAACAGGACCAGACTACACCAGGACTAAACCAGGACTACACCACCAGGACTAAACCAGACTAACCAGGACTAAACACTAAACCAGGACTAAACCATAAACCAGGACTAAACCAGACTGACTACTAACCAGGACTAAACCAGGTCTAAACCAGGACTACACCAGGACTAAACCAGGTCTAAACCAGGACTACACCAGAACTAAACCAGGTCTAAACCAGGACTACACCAGGACTAAACCAAGACTACACCAGGACTGAACCAGGACTAAACCAGGTCTAAACCAGGACTACACCAGAACTAAACCAGGTCTAAACCAGGACTACACCAGGACTAAACCAAGACTACACCAGGACAGAACCAGGACTAAACCAGGTCTAAACCAGGACTACACCAGGACTAAACCAGGTCTAAACCAGGACTACACCAGAACTAAACCAGGTCTAAACCAGGACTACACCAGGACTAAACCAGGACTACACCAGGACTGAACCAGGACTAAACCAGGACTAAACCAGGACTACACCAGAACTAAACCAGGTCTAAACCAGGACTACACCAGGACTAAACCAGGACTACACCAGGACTAAACCAGGTCTAAACCAGGACTACACCAGGACTAAACCAGGACTACACCAGGACTGAACCAGGACTGAACCAGGACTAAACCAGGACTAAACCAGGACTACACCAGGACTAAACCAGGTCTAAACCAGGACTACACCAGGACTAAACCAGGTCTAAACCAGGACTACACCAGAACTAAACCAGGTCTAAACCAGGACTACACCAGGACTAAACCAGGACTACACCAGGACTAAACCAGGACTAAACCAGGACTACACCAGGACTAAACCAGGTCTAAACCAGGACTACACCAGAACTAAACCAGGTCTAAACCAGGACTGAACCAGGACTAAACCAGGACAGGCATTTGGTTTGGTACATCAGGGGTTTTCCAATTGGGTGAATGTGAGCCTCGCCCTTCCCCAAAAATCCCCCAGGCCTTGGAAGTAAATGCATCTTTTATGTTCCTGGCAATGATGAGTTTCAATAACAACTGATATAATATTGAGTTGTTGTTTTTTTTTTTTAAAGTGTATTCATAAATGATTTTTGCAACAGAAAATAATTTCCAACTTCACGCAGGACTAACTGAGGCGACTTTTAACATCACTGAACATCAGTTGGACACCAGGACTAAACCGGGGCTAAACCAGGACTACACCAGGACTAAACCAGGACTACACCAGGACTGAACCAGGACTACACCAGGACTAAACCAGGACTGAACAGGTTCTAAATCAGGTCTAAACCAGGACTAAGCCAGGATTAAGCGAGGACTACACCAGGACTAAACCAGGACTACACCAGGACTACACCAGGTCTAAACCAGGACTACACCAGAACTAAACCAGGTCTAAACCAGGACTACACCAGAACTAAACCAGGTCTAAACCAGGACTACACCAGGACTAAACCAGGACTACACCAGGACTGAACCAGGACTAAACCAGGACTAAACCAGGACTAAACCAGGTCTAAACCAGGACTACACCAGAACTAAACCAGGTCTAAACCAGGACTACACCAGGACTGAACCAGGACTAAACCAGGACTAAACCAGGACTACACCAGGACTAAACCAGAACGGAAGCAGGACTAAACCAGGTCTGAAACAGGTCTAAACTAGGAGTAAACCAGGACTAATCTTGGATTTCTGAGAGCGAGAGGGAAACCCCGAGCCCGAGGTGCAGGGTGTCCACAAAGCGCGATCGAGTGACGACTGCGCTCAGCTTCGTGGGGCTTTGTGCCGGTCTGCGGTCACCCAACGGTCTATGTAGGCACACCTCCGGGCTCGTCACAACACTCAGTCCTGGTTCAGTTCTAGTTTAGCCCTGGTTTAGTCCTGTTTTAGTCCTAATTCAGTCCTGGTGTAGTCCTTGCTTAGTCCTGGGATCATTCCTGGTTTAGTCCGTGTGTGTCGCTACTCCCCAGTGGCTCTTTGGCACCTCCCAGGAAAGGCGGGCCTCACATATAGAAAACCGCTGGTCTACATGAAGATAGAAAGGTTTAATGCCATACTGTGAAACATTCCAGACAAAGCAATAACATCTCCACGCAGAAGAGCATTTGACGGACCCAACACCAGAAAAGCTACACAGTGCACCTTTAAAAAGCGGACTAAGGAAGAGCGATGTCACAAGGCCAGTAGTTACAGGAGCTAGTTTCGAGTAGAGTTTGATATCAAGATTAAGAATTTATTTACTGACAAAATAGCAAAATATGAACTCTAAAATGTAGAGTGGGTTAATACAAACATTTTAACACCAAAATGACGAATCACTGCAGCAGTTACAGAGAGAAGAGCTTTTTTCAGACTCAAACAAAACATATAGAGCAGGGGTGTCAAACTCATTTTGGTCTGGGGGCCATATCCAACCTACTTTGATCCCAAAGGGCCCGGATCAGAAAACTCATGGCATATAAACCCCAAAAATAACAATAAGTTCAAATTATTAATTAAAAAATAATTAAATTATTATAAAAAATTCAATTTCAACACAATGTTTTAACATGAACTTGTATATAAATAAGAATAAGTCCATTTATCTTGGAAAATCCTGCACTCGGCTCCACTTTTCTCATTTTTGACATTTTTCCGATGAGGGTGTCACGGTCAACAGTCAAAACGATCGTCCTTTAAGAGCGTTTGGAAAGAGAGAAGTCTTCATTTGTGCTGCTCTGGTGGGAGGGGCCACGTACAGAGACGCTGGAGACGCTGCTGTGATAAACACCGCAGAAAATTACCAATATTTTAATAGAAAATATAATTAAAATATTTTAGTAGAAAATCACCCAAGGGCCACATTAAAGGTCTTGGAGGGCCGGATCTGGCCCCCGGGCCTTATGTTTGACACCTGTGATATAGAGCATCAAACACTACATAGTTTTGATGTTAAGCGGAATAGAAAAGGTGCAAAAGCCAGTCCAGTAATCCCAGTGTAAACCTATGCACAATAAAAAAATATTTAGTACAGCACATATGTAAAAAAACAAAAAACAAAACATACAGTACAGTGAGATATGTTGAGTTTAATGTCATTATGCAACAATGCCAAGTCCAGTTCAGTGTTAATGTGTTGGTGCTTGTGTTTATTGTCCGCGATCTGTTAGATTTAAAGCAGAACCTGTCAGAACTGAAGAAGCTACTTACTGGACCAAAGTTTTAGAGTGGTTTTGTTTTGCACTGTGTAACTTTTCTCGTACGTCACCTGCTTGGAGATGTTATTGCTTTGCCTGTAATTCTAACATTCTAACATTACATTTATCTATAGCAGCGGATTACTCTATTAGGTCAAGTTACAGGTTAGATCTGTGAAGAGGTGATCTTACTTTAAAGTTAATTGCATGTTTTTGAGCCATGCAAATATCTGTAATTACTTAAATCCTATATAAACATGTTAAATTCCATTCCGTGGGGACACTTCTGCACAGCAATAACATTTGGATTGAGACAAGTAGGCAGCAAAGCCGTTCCCAGAAATGTTACACAATGCACCTTTATAACCTTTGCTCGATTTTAATTTGGCCATATTTCTTGCGCAGTCATCGCTTGAAATATTATGAGATTATTTTTTGGGTTTGCTGAAGAGACAGTGGTGATTTATTTTCTTCGGGGAAATTTAGCTAGAGAGAACGTCAGGGCTGCTCAAGGCCAGATGCAAGAAACCACCCTGATCAAAGCTCACTGCTTTAATTTCGCCGGTCAGGAAATAGAGCAAACACTTAAATAGGACTGTCGAAAAAATACAGAAGCAAAGAAGACCCAGGTGACAGCTGAAAGGAGATAAGAGGAAATTGTAATTTGGTTTTTGACTGTGTGAATGAATATCCATTTTCTTAAGACGTGCGATTATCTGTGCAGGTGACGGCCACTGACCCCGACAAAGACGCGGACCAGGGAGCGATCCGCTACTCCATTCACGGGCAGGGCGCTGAGTCACATTTCATGATCAATGACCTGACGGGGGAGATGTACGCCCAACGCACCATGGACCGAGAGGAGCGTGCTGTGTGGCGCTTCGTCGTCATGGCGACCGATGAAGAAGGCGAGGGTCTTACGGGCTTCACTGATGTTATAATCAATGTTTGGGACATCAATGACAACGCGCCCGCCTTCTCCTGCGCCCCGGATAACTGCCACAGCAGCGTCCCGGAGAATTCCCCTCCTGGAACATTCGTTGTAGAAATGACCGCTGTGGACCTTGACGACGCGGCGGTCGGGCAAAACGCAATCTTGACATATAGGATTATCGAAAACGCTTATAATGCAAACAGCGTGCAGCTTTTCGCGATGGATTCCAGCACTGGCACTATATCGGTTTCGGCAGAGGGTTTAGATAGAGAAACTGCAGAGAGCCACCATTTAGTAGTCGAGGCGAGGGACGGCGGGGGTATGACGGGCACCGCCACCGCTACTGTAATGGTAACGGACATCAACGATCACATGCCGAAGTTCAGAGAGGACTGGTGCGGCGCTCGCATACCCGAAAGCGCCAGCGTTGACGCTTCAATCCTCGATCTGAGCGCCCTGGACCCCGACGCCGGCACTTACGGGCAGGTCGCGTTCAGCATAGTGGCCGGAGACCCCGAGCAGAAGTTCTACATGGTTAGCCACAGATTGGAGAAGACGGGGACGCTGAGGCTGAGGAAAGGCGTGGACTTCGAGAAGGCGGCGGATCAGAGGTTCAATCTGACCATCAAAGTGGAGGATACCGACTTTTCGAGCTTCATTCACTGCGTGGTTCTGGTGGAAGACGAGAACGATAACAGCCCCGTTTTCGACCCCGTTTCTCACCTGCTCTCGCCGATACGCGAGGACGTGGCGGTGGGCACGAGCGTCATCCAGGTCGTGGCCACTGACTCGGATTCAGGCCTGAACGGAGACATTTATTACAGCATCCTGCCCAGATCCGACCCGCACGGGCACTTCGCGGTCAACCGAGCCGGAGTGGTTACGGTGACCAGGCCGCTGGACAGGGAGACGGCGGCGGGTTACGATCTGGTTGTCATGGCGACGGACAGGGGCACGCCAGGCCTGACCGGCAGCGCCACGGTCCACTTGCAGCTGCTGGACATGAACGACAACGGGCCGGAGCTGGAGGCAGAGTACGCGCCGGTTTTGTGGGAGAACAGCCCCGCGCCCCAGGTCGTCTGGCTCAACATCAGCACCAATCTGCTCCACGTCGCGGATCGAGATTCCCCGGAACACGGCCCCCCCTTCTCCATCTCTCTGCCCTCGCATTTCTCCGCCGATTTCCACCTCCAGGACCACGGGAACAGTTCTGCAACGCTAACCGCCCTGCGCAGGTTTGACAGGGAACGGCAGCGGGAGTTTCATCTGCCTGTCATTATGATTGACAGCGGCCGTCCTCCAATGACATCCACAAGCACGCTCACCATCACTATCGGAGACCAGAATGATAACGCGCATCAGGCTGGGGAGAAAGATGTTTATGTGCACAGTCGCAAAGGTGAGTTGTTTCATTTCATTTGCAGTTCCCTCTTTTTTTTTTTTCCCTGCCGAGTTTCAATATAGAGAAAAAAAACTACAGTATAGTTTCCTGTCCCATACCTTTGCTGTGTTGACTGGAATATATATTTGCATTCTTCCTCTTTTTAGATTTGATTTCTCAATTCTCGTTGCTGTTTTCGTGCAATTGCGTATTTGGTTTGCTCAAAGTTAAGACTTCAACTCGTATCAAATGTGCATAAAAATAAGATTCAGCCTTTTCAGCAGGTCTCAAAGTAGAAAGTACAGATACACGCTCTCAAATGTAGTAAAAGTGAAAGTATCGACTGTAAAAATGAGTAGAAAGTGCAGATTTATGCTCTTTCATTTCATTCTTTTCCCCTATTTTTCCTTTCAAAGAATCAGTATGCAGAGTTTGAATAGAGAAAAAAAAAAACTACAGTATAAAGTTTCCTGTCTCATACCTTTGCTGTGTTGACTGGAATATATAATTGCGTTCTTCTTCTTTTTAGATTTGATTTCTTATTTTTTCTTGCTGTTTTTGTGCAATTGTGTATTTGGTTTGCTCAAAATTGGGACATTAACTCACATCAAATGTAGATAAAATAAGTTTCAGCCTTTTCAGCAGGTCTCAAACCATAAAGAAAAATACTTTTTACTTTTCAGTCCAGAATTAAAGATGTAGTAGAGTAGAAAGTGAACATATATGCTCTTTCATTTCATTCTTTTTACTTAAAAAGAATCAGAATGCAGAGTTTCAATACAGAGAAAAACTAACTTATAATTGCAATCTTCTTTTTAGGTTAGATTTCTTAATTCTAGCTGCTTTTGTGTATTTGATTTTCTCAAAGTTACTCAAATTAAATGTACATAAAATAAGTCTCAGCCTTTGCAGCAGGTCTTAAACCAGCCCTCAGGTTTCCAGGTGAATTGGCCCAAATTTACTTTTTACTACAAGTTTTTTTTATTTTTTTTATTTTTTACATCTACCTTGATAAAGCCAATATTTAATATTTTGTGTGTGGTTTTAAGGATATTAGGCAAGGCAAGGCAAGTTTATTTGTATAGCACAATTCGTACACAAAGTAATTCAAAGTGCTTTACAGAATAAGAAATACATTAAAATCATAATAAAAACAAATCAAAACATAAATAATCATGAAGATTAAAATTAAAAAAGAGGGACATAAATTGGAGAGAAGAGTGCGGAATGAAAACCTTTCAGTTATTTGCACAGTTAAACAGAAATGTTTTGAGTCTGGATTTAAACAGCGTCACAGAAGAGTCTGTCTCACATGTTCAGACTGTTCCAGGTTTTAGCTGCATGAACCTGAAACTCTGACTCCCCTTGTTTAGTTCTGACTCTGGGCACCAGCAGGAGGCCGGTCCCTGAGCTCCTCAGAGTGTGAGATGTTCATATGACACTAACATGTCACAGATGGACTTTGGTGCTCGGCCATGGAGACACTTGTACAAGCAGAGCTGCTTTAAAGTCTCTGAGGCACAGGAGCCAGTGCAGAGACCTGAGCACAGGACTTATGTGCTCGTACTTCCTAGTTCGAGTCAGGACCCGAGCTGCAGCGTTCTGGATGTTCTGGATGTTCTGGATGTTCTGGATGTTCTGCAGCGTCTCACAGCTCGTTTGGAGAGACCAGTGAGCAGAACATTACAGTATCTAACCTACTGGAGACAAACGCATGGATAAGTTTCTCCAAGTCTGATTTAGACAGTAAACCTTTGATTTTTGCTCTGTTTTTTAGATGGTAAAAGGCTGCAGATGTTATTGATTTGATGTGGCTGTTAAAGTTCAAGTCTGAGTCCATTATTACCCCTAGATTTCTTGCCTGATTTGAAGGTTTTAGAGAGAGAGACTGGAGGTGACTGCTGACACTGTCCCTTTGTTTCTGTGGACCAAACACTATGACTTCAGTCTTGTCAGAGTTTAGCTGGAGAAAGTTGTTTTGCATCCACACACTGATCTGTTGGATGCAGTGAAATTCTTGTTGGATATTAGCATGAATAAAGACTGATGGCTCATTCTAACGTGTTAAACATGCACATATTTCAATTATTCACTGTACTGAGCACCAGTCTACGACCCTCGATCAGCTCTACTACAATTTATTTAATTTTTTTTTAATCTACATTAATAAAGCTTATATTTAATATTCAGTGTGTGGTTTTAAGGATCTTAGAATGAATAAAGACAGATAGCTCATTCTAAACATGCACATATTTCAATTATTCACTGTACTGAGCACCAGTCGATCAGCCTCTGCTTCATCTGTGGCCCTTGATGAAAAAAGTTTCGACACTCCTTTTTTGTTGGTTTAAGACTTAAACCAACCAAACATTTTTTTTTTACTTTCCAGCCCAGAATTAAAAGTGTAGTGGAGTAGAAAGTTCAGATTTTTGCTCTTTCGTTTCATTCTTTCCCCCCTTTTTTTGCTTAAAAAGAACCAGAATGTGGAGTTTCAATATAGAAAAGTACTTTTTACTTTTCAGTCCAGATCTAAAATGCAATGGAGTCAAAGTCAAAGTATCCACTGTAAAAATGACTTATGTAAAGTGCAGATGAGTTGTGGCTTTCTTTCATTTCATTCTATGTTCCCTCTTTTTTCCTTACAAAGAACCAGAATGCAGAGTTTGAATATAGAGAAAAAACTACAGTATAAAGTTTCCTGTCTCATACCTTTGCTGTATTGACTGGAATCTATATTTACCTTCTTCTCCTTTTTAGATTTGATTTCTTATTTTTTTCTTGCTGTTTTTGTGCAATTGTGTATTTGATTTGCTCAAAGTTAGGACCTTCAACTCAAAATCAAATGTGCATAAAAATAAGTTTCAGTCTTTTCAGCAGGTCTCAAATCATAAAGGAAAACGACTTTTTACTTTTCACTCCAGAATTAAACGTGTAGTAGAGAAGAAAGTACAGATACACGCTCTCAAATGTAGTAAAAGTGAAAGTATCGACTGTAAAAATGAGTAGAAAGTGCAGATTTATGCTCTTTCATTTCATTCTTCTTCACCTACTTTTACTTAAAAAGAATCAGAATGCAGAGTTTCAATATAGAGAAAAACCTACAGTATAAAGTGTCTCATACCTTTGTTGTGTTGACTGGAATCTATAATTGCGTTCTTTTTTCTTTTTAGATTAGATTTCTTAATTATTCTTGCCGCTTTTGTGTATTTGCGTATTTGATTTGCTCAGAGTTACTCAAATCAAATGTGCATGAAAATAAGTTTCAGTCTTTTCAGCGGGTCTCAAAACATAAAGAAAAATACTTTTTACTTTTAAGTCCAAAATTAAAAGTGTAGTAGAGTAGAAAGTGCAGATTTATGCTCTTTCGTTTCATTCTTTTTCTCCTATTTTTACTTAAAATGAACCAGAATGCAGAGTTTCAATATAGAAAAGTACTTTTTACTTTTCAGTCCAGATCTAAAATGCAGTAGAGTAGAAAGTGCAGATATATGGTCTCAAATATAGTGGAGTAAAAGTGAAAGTATTGACTCTAAAAATGACTTAAGTAAAGTACAGATGAGTTGTGGCTTTCTTTCATTTCATTCTTTGTTCCCTTTTCTTCCTTTTCAGTCATTTTTACTTTTCAGTCCAGAATTTAAAATGTTTAAAAAGAACCAATATATAATTTCATTCTTCTTCTTTTTTAAATTTGATTTCTTGATTTTTCTCACTGTTTTTGTGCAGTTGTATATTTGATTTGCTCAAATTTGGGACATTGCCTCAGATCAAATGTCTCAGTCTTTTCAGCAGGTCTCAAACCATAAAGAAAAATACTTTTTACTTTTCAGTCCAGAATTTAAAATGTAGTGGAGTAGAAAGTTCAGATTTATGCTCTTTAATTCTTTTCCCCCTATTTTTACTTAAAAAGTACCAGAATGTGAAGTTTCAATATAGAAAAGTACTTTTTACTTTATAGTCTAGATCTAAAATGCAGTGGAGTAGAAAGTGCAAATATATGGTCTCAAATGTAGTGGATTAAAACTGAAAGTATCGACTGTAAAAACGGTTTAAGTAAAATAAGGATGAGTTGTGGCTTTCTTTCATTTCATTCTTTGTTCCGGTAACACTTTATAATAACTACACCTTATTTAGCCTTAATAAAGCATGAACAAAGACTAGTAACTACTTAATTTCTACCTGAATTTGTAATTAACTTGCTCTTAATTCACCTGTGCTGTAAATAGTAACTCAATACTTCTTAATTACTCATGAACTAACCATTTGCACGTTTACAAATGCATATTTAAGTTCACATTTGAGCATTTATTAATGATTAGTAAGTTATAAGAGAATGATTTACTAATAATGCAATGATAATTCAGGCAGCTGTTATCTGTTAAGTCTTTCTGAGAGCTTTTGTCAGGGAATTTACCCTAAGACATCAAATTACATTAAATAAAGACGCACCAAAACGAGACAGTTAAAAGTAATACTTGTGCAAGGAGAGAGAGCCGTCAGAGCCTGTCAATACCACTGGCTGAGCCTCTCTACTCTGCAGCTCTCCTCCCAACAGCAGTATTTATTGCAGTCATTTCACAGATAACAATACAGTACATTATGTTATATCACACGATGGTTACAATGATCACATGCTAACAATCTTTAGGGTTTTAGGTTTATCTAAACATTGTAAACAAGAAGAAAGACAAGAGATTAATTCAGTTTTACTCGCGAGGAGAACGGGCAGAGAGTGGGCATCACAACCAACAGTCTCCACACGTTCTGATGACTCAAGGCCGTTCTCCTCTTTTTATTTCATTAGGAGGCCCTAGTTACAGAACGATAATTCTCAAGGGGAAGGGGAAACAGCCAAGACATAATAAGAAACTGGTGCAGCTAAGCATAGTACAAACACATAAAACATGATTAACAAACAGGAGGTGCCTTAGGTATGGACAGACACCATCATAACTCTTGCATGTGTGACAGTGGGAGTTGGCTTCATGTGAGGAATCATCTCGAGGTTCACTAGAGCGACA